GGGGGGGTGCGCTAAATCGAGGATCTACGGTAACTGAACACGACTTCCCGAAAATCGAAAAAATAGTACCCAGTAAGAAAAAAGTAGTTTTTTACAATCGAAAAAAAGTTTCCTCTGGCAAAATACAAAAATCCGCCGATCCACAAAAATAAACTCAAAATTTAGTGCCACGGTAGTAAGAGACCACCGATCCTTAAGAAGCTTTAATGTTTACTATTTTTAATTCAAGTAAGAGGCGCTACGTTCGGTAATAATCAATTATTTTTTATATTGGCTATATTAAATTCTTTTCTTTCTTCTTTTTATGAAAGGGTTGGGGCACGAAGGAACCTGGAAAAGGAGCTAAACACGTCGGTGCTTCAAAAGGACATCCCGCCCTCAGCTCGTACCTGTTGCCTTACCACATTCCACATTTCTACATGTATGTGTGTCCTTGTAAAACGTACGCAAGTTTGAAAGAGTTTTGAATTAACATTGTCTGCAATAATTGAAATAGATAGTTAACTAATTTATCTCAACTCAGGTTCCAGAGTTCTTTTTTGTGTTGTTTTTGTCATTTTGTTTTGTTTTGTTTGTTTTTTAATTGTTTTTTGGTTTGTTTGGTAGCCATCTTAAACTTGCATACTCAAAACAAGAACAAAAAGGCGCGAAGGCGCCTGATCAAACGAATCCTATATTGGAAACCTTAATACTAACTAGTTATTAGCCTATATCCACGTTAAATAAAGCATTCATTAAAGTGCCCATAATTTCAAAAGTTTTTTCGCTCATCTAATTCTACATTTCACCTAATGAACTTCTGCGAAAAAAAATTTTCGATTTGGATAAAATGCAATTTTTTTTATAAGGTTTTAAAGACGTTCAAATTTGCCGCCATTTTGGTCCACCATTCGCAACAGTCTTCCTCGGTTTGAGGTGAGTTGTGACGTAGGTTCAGGAACACGTAATTTGGGTCATGACTTATCTGACTTGAAAACAAATGGAGATTTTGCTTCAGAGTTGTCTACATTTAGTTGAAAATGGCGGAAAGGTGCGTTGCCGCTCTTTGTAACAACGTTAATGATTCAGAAAACATCACTCTTCATCGTAGGTTCCTGAAC